AAAAGAAAAAAATGAATAAATTGAGAAACTGGAAATGAAGAAAGACAAAAAGGGAAAAAGAGAGAGAAGAAAACAAAATAAAAAAACAAAAACAAAAAACAAAAAAACAAAAGCAAGTAAAAAGAAATGTCTCCAGAGATATCACTGTGTGTTTGCGCAGAGTAAGGGAGTATCTCCCAAGCCGCATGGCACTGCTGGGGCCAGAAGGGACTCCCAAGCCTAGAAAAGAAAAAGAAAACAATCAAACAAACAAATCAAAACAGAACAGATTAGAACAAACCAAAAAAACCCGGGGGTCCCACCTGCATGGTGGCATGGGCTGGGAAGCAGTTCCACAGTTGAGCGGTGCCTTGAAGCCCCCCAGGAAGAAGCAAAGATGGCCACAGACCCAGATATTTGAGAGAAACGAGGGGGAGGTGATGAGAGGTAAGGAAGAAATCTAATGAAGCAGAAAAGAGCAACATCAGCAGCCAACAAATGGCACTCAGGGAGCCAGCCAGTACAGGCAGGGGGAATCCAAGCTAAACTGAGGTGAAGCCAGTGCTTCCTGGCCAAGAAACTGCAGCCACAGAAAGCAGAGGAGGTCGAGTGTGGGTGAAGAAGTGTGGGGGGGTGGGAAAGCGTGGATTATTGGTTACCGGTTGTTCTGTCTCCTGCTGGAAACTCCGTGAAGCTGCTTTCTCATATCACCTGTTCACCAGTCTCTGATAGGAGTCCAAGATGGTGGATCCGTGCTGAGTTAGCTGATAGGGGACCTCTGCATGTATCTCTCCTCGCTCTCTGTTCTCAGTCAGTTTCTTATTCTATTTGGTGCTTGGCTGAGTTCTTTATCTCTTCATTTGATGCTTAAGGTTTCAGGACTGATGTGTGACTCTATTTGACTTAGTTTTTTGGATCTTTGCTGTGGAGGGACGGTGTGGGGCTTCTGACTATAGCGCCATATTGCCTGTAAGTCACATGCTAAGATTTCGATCTTTTGTTTGTTGTCTGGGTTGCAAAAGTTTTTCTCAGCTTACTGTGTGATAGTAATGTTGTCCACTTACTTGGTGAGGGCCGAGAGGCTGGCTCCACAGCCCTGGTGCCACCATGAGGTGCCCACAGCATGAGGGCAAAGGTTCTGGGTGGCAGTTCACAAGCCAAGGAGTCAGCATGCTCACTCTTTGGCGCTCAGTAACTTCCACTCAGTTTTCTGGGCCCCTGGAAGTGCGGCCCCTTCTCCTCCCCCTACCCCCACGGAGGACTCTCATCTCACCCACCTTACGCTTCAGTGGCCCCTCCTCCTTCTTGCACGCCCCTGTCCCCCCCCACCCCGTCTTCTCCAGCCTTGTTATTGTTAGCTACCTTCCAGTCGGCCCCCAACTCACGGTGACTGCATGCACAACAATATGAAACACTCCTGCCGGGTCCTGCGCAGTTTCAGATTGGATCTTTGTAATCCATAGGGTTTTAGCTGGCTGATGTTTGGAAGTAGCTCGTCAGGCCCTTCTTCCTAGTCTGTCTTGGACTATTTCAGACCTGAATTTAGGCTCCTGGCTTCTTTCTTTCTTTGTTTCTGCTCTAAGAGGGGACTGGGAGAGGAAAACACAGCCCTGGAGTACCAGTGAGAGAATTGAGGAGCAAGGAAATACGCAGGAACAAACACACAGATCAATACTGGGAGACACCCCTGCTGTGGTGGTGTGACTTTTGCTTGTGTTTATGGTGTTTTTGACGGAAAGACTTCCAAACATTTTGGTGGCAGATGTATGAGAGAGAAGCTGATCTCCACCCTGGTCTGTAAGCAGGGGCTCCTTCCCCCACCCACTGAGGGTGTACTTGGGAGGGTGTGTCAAGCTGTAAAGAAGTGGGGGACTTTGGAAAGATCTGAGTCCTCAGTTCTCCTCTCAGCTTCCAGAGCCACATCTGGCTGTTCACAGACTTCCGCTGACCCTTGAGGGCTGGAGGCTTCTCTCAGGGGACTTCATGACTCTGCCTGGGCTGGCCCTGGGCAGGGGGACCTGGGAGGGGAGGGGAGGGGAGTGCACTCAGCAGCCCGCCCTGGGGTCCTGTCTGGCTCTTCATCACAGCCCTCGGGTTGTCTGGAGAAAATGGGTATCAGTTTTGCTTCCATTTGTTCAATCAACAAGCTGTCCCTGAGCACGACGTATGTCCAGGAGGCCCAGCTGGGCCCAAGACGGGTGGGGGGCTCTGTGGGTCCCTCCTTGGCGTCTGCAATGACACGTGCCCCTGCACACTCGTTCCTGCTTAGTTGCGTTTTCACTGCAGAACAAGGAAGCCCATCCCTGAGGTGGGCTCAGGGGACGCCGGCAGTTGGCAGCTGCAGGACTATGGGCCAGGGCCTTTGAACACCACAGGCTCTGCAGGCCGCAGACCCCACAGACTGTCAGAGAGACAGGTAAAGCCACAGAACTGCAGAGCGACCCAGCTGGGGCCCACGGGGCACCACCGACTCCCCCAGCCTCACCACCATGGACCCAGCTGGGACTAGAATCCAGGTCTCCAGGCCCAGGAGTAGGGGCCGAGTGGCCGTGTTCTGGCAGGGGTAAGGCAGCAGGAGAGAGAAGAGGGGCTGAGGCCCAGCGAGGGGAAGATACTGAGCATGGTTCTCTGCCATGCAGCACCCCTGGGCTGTGGCCTTGCTCATTCAGACAGCAGGCCTGCACACCCCCACCCCACCCCCTAGCTGGGAGAAGTCCCGCTCATCCTCCTAGACCTGTGGTTCTCAGCCTGGGTGATTCTGCTTCCCAGGGGACATCTGGCAGTGTCTGGAGACATTTTTGATTATCATGACTTGGGGGATGGTGTACTGGCATCTAATGGGTAGAGGCCAGGGATGCTGTTAAACATCCTACACTGCACAGGACAGCCACCACACAGATACAGCAAAGAATCATCTGGTTCAAAATGTCAGTCAGGCTGAGGTTAAGAAACCTCGTTCTAGGCCCAGCTCGTCCATGTAGTCATCCAACACATGTTTGCTGGGTGCCAGATGTGTGCCAGCTCCAGTGTCCTCTCTGTTGACTTGCTTCCCTGACCCTCCTCTTTGTCCAATTATCTCCCCCAGGCCTTCATTAATTCACAGACATGTACCCAGCCCAGCTCTGTGCCAGGCCAGGAACTGCTAGGCACTCCCAGCCCAGACCCCCACCAACATCCTTGCCACCTCGCATGTTAACTAGTGTGGATTTTGTCTCCCCCACTAGAAACTTCTTTTTATCTGCTTATTGCACCGTTCAATGGGCTCAAGCATAACAACAGTTGTGAGGATGGCACAGGGCCGGGCAATGTTCGTTCTGTTGTACGTAGGGCCGCTATGGGTTGGAACCGACTCAACAGCACCTAACAACACTGTACTATTCACACCTCCATAAACCCTTTGAGAAAGATATTATTCCCCAGTCTGTACGGATAAGGAGCCTGCAGCTCACAGGGGAAGGAATTGTCCGAAGGTCACGTAGCTAGCAGCCGGTGGCAGAGCTGGGGCTCAAACCACTTTCCCAGTGTGTGGAGAGCTGGGACCTGACTGTCTTCTTCTCTGGGTCTAGAGGTCACTGAGAAATGGTCCCTAAGCTGAATCTTAGGCTGCTCTGGGAACCGCAAGTTGGGAGAGGTCCAGCAGAACCTCATGGCTATAAGGCAGGACCTTCTACAGGCTGGGCAGGGACATCCCTCCCAGGCCTTCCTTGCTTTTCCCCTGTTCAGACACACCTCTCCCAGTCAGGGTTCTCTGCTATCCAGACCAGAGACACACCTACTTTCTTCTTCTTTTAAGATTTATCCGTTTATAAATTTGTGACCTTCGGAAATCAATTAACTTCTTCAGATCTCAGTATGCCCATCTTAGGAGTCCCTGGGTGGTTAAAACGGTTAACCACTTGACTACTATCTGAAAGGCTGGCAGTGTGCAACCACCCAGAGGTGCCTCGGAAGACAGGCCTGGCAATCTGCTTCTGAACGTCACAGCCTTAAAGACCCTATGGAGCAGCTCTACTCCGACACACATGGGGTTACCATGGGTCGGAATAGGCAACAATTACAACCATCTTTAAAAATGGGACTTTAAAGTCTTCAATTTAATCATTTATTTCTATTTTCAAAACAGCTTGTAAATATCTGCCTTAATCCTATGACTTACCTTCTTTCTACCTTGTTATTGTTAGCTGCCGTCCAGTCAGCACTGACCCCATGCACAATGCAGCAAACGTCGTCTGGTCCTGAGACAGCCTCATGATCATCTGAAGATCTAACGGTGTTCCATTGTGGACCATAGGGTTTTCACTGGCTGATTTCCAGAGGTAGATTGCCAGGCCTTTCTTCCCAGTCTATCTTGGTCTGGAAGCTCCACTGAAACCTGTTCAGCATCATAGCAACCCGAAGCCTCCACTGACAGATGGGTGGTGGCTGGGCATGAGGTGCATAAGCTGAGAGTGTGTATTTTTTAACTTTTTATTGTGGTGAAATAGATGTAACAAAACATTTGCCATTTCAATCATTTTCACGCATACAATTCAATGACATTAATTATATTCAGCATATTGTGCAATCATCACCACTAAGCTTTCTTTTAAAAGTAATTTCAATTGTTTATTCTCCTACATAAAATCAGTATACCCTCATTTTAGAAAATTTAGAAGTATAGCTAAGTGAGAAAAAAATAAAAACCACACATGATCTCACTAACCAGAAGAAAACAATTGTTAAGTGCGATATATTTCCTTCAGGTGTTTTTCCTGGGCACATATTTGTAAACAAAACTAGAATCATACTGTGAAGACTTCTGTAACCGTTTTTTTTTTTTTTTTTAATCCAGCAATATGTGGTGTACATCTTGCTATGAGCATCCCAGACCATCACAGAGAGAACCTACGCCTTGCCATAAGGAGCTCAACATCCGTCAAAATGAGAGCCAGCGGGTACTGCTTCTCCCCACAGTCCCCACCTCCTCCCCCAGCCAGTGGCACCTGGGAGCCGCCACCCACAGGGGCAGCCACAGCTGCCCCTCAGTGGCAGCCACAGCTGTCCACAGTCATGTCCGTGTACTGCCACAGTACCACCACCTTCTGCTCATTGAAGTAGAGGAGACTGATGGAATTGAGCTTGTTGGGGACACAGGAGGGTCTGGAGATGTTGGGGTTCATCTTGAAGTGGCAGAGGAAGGACACAAAGAAGGTATAATTAGAGGCGTTGCTCCTGTGGCCCAGCGGGTGGATGCACTGGCCCTTGCAGTAGTTGACCTGGTAGCCAGGAGGCGAGATGACCCAGCTCCTCCAGCCGATGGTCTGGAAGTCCACGTACAGCAGGTACCTCTGGCAGCCCACAGGCCTCCTGGAGCTGTGTCTCACACTCCGTGGTTGCCTGGGGTAGTTTGAAGGTGGCTCCCGCAGGGGCAGATGCTCTCACTCCAAGGGCGGCCACAGAACTGTGGGGGCATCCAGAGGGCTGCTGAGCATGGTGGTCTGCCCTGAGACCTGGTCGGAGCCCTGCTCCCTCCACCCTGCCCCCCAGCCCACACATGCCACCTCTACCCTCAAGCGGGGAAGTGCCCGCAAGCAGGACCAAGCACATCTACCGCCTCGTCGGTGCTGGCCCCACTGCTCTCTGCTGAGTGGCTGCAAGCAATGGCACTTGCGTGCCAGACACAAGTCTGTGTGTTGTACCTGCCTTAACTCATCTCCTTCACTCAGCCTGCCGAGAGAGGGGCCAAGACCGACCCCGCGTTACAGAAAAGCAAGTGAAGGGCTAGTGGTTGAGCAGGTTAACAAGTTACCACGAGGCAACGGGCAGAGCTAGGGTCTGAACCCAGGCAGTGCAGCTTTACAGCCCACGTTCTTAACCCCTACAAAGTACTGCCTCAGTTAGTCTCCTCACATGTGAAATGCAGACACCACCGACTTGGTAGGATTTGGGTGCTGATATCATCAGAGAAGGGGTATGGAGGGCGCTGTGGACTGCTGCTCAGGCAGGTGCCCTGGGTCTCTCTGGCCAGGGCCCTACCCTAGCCTCCCCACCCGCCACCATGCACTCTGTGTCTGATGCCTTCCCCGTCTTCCAGGGGCCCGGGGAGCCCCCTGGGAACAGAGCTCGCCCCACTCAAGCTGAGCAGGGAGTCACCTCACCAGTGGGCAGGGTGGCGTAGTCCTTGCGGGGAGGCTCCTTGTCCTGGTTGTTGGTACAGATGACCAGCAAGGAGTTCCTCTTGTCTTTCCCATTCCACTTCCGGTTGATCCCGCCATAGCTGTATGTCAGCAGCTTGCCCACGTTCTTTGTGGTCAGCACCAAAAAGCTCCTGGCCAAGTCCTGGCCCTGGATCCAGGAGGCCACCTGGGAACAACATCTGAGTGGCAGGGTCCAACCATGAGGAGTTAACAGGACAGCCCTGTGGCCACGCTGCCAGGACTCACGCTCAGGCTCCGGCCCTTACTAGCAGAGCAGCCTTTTCTGTGCCTCAGTTTCCCCATCTGTACAACAGCAATAATAGTGGTATAAACCTTGTAGGTTTGCTGAGAGCATTCAACGACGGCACGTAGAATGAATGAGTCACCTTTCCTAACCCAAGTCACTTTCCCCCAAGCTGGGCCATCTCCACATTAGTGTTTGGGGACGACAAAGTGGCCCTTGGTGTGCAAAGCCAAGTCTAAAGCAACGTGGCACAGGGTATCTATGACTCCACACAGCCTCATCACACCCCCACAGTGTTTGTTTGATCCAGGTTCATGCTGACTGAATATGTGGGTGTGTGCAGATAGAGAGAGAGGCAAGGCAGGGGGGATAAAAGGTAGAGAGAGCAAGCGAGTGACAACAAATTATACAGTAAATGGGCCAAAAATGCAATGTGAATCTGGGTCAAGGGCACATGAGAGTTCTCTGTACCGTTCCACAACTTTTCTGTAACTTTGGAAATATGTCAAATAGAAAGATTTATCTGTGTGCTACCCAGATCCTCTGCTTTGGGAAACACTGACAGAATGAAGAGGGTGTGGCAGACAGCCCAGGGCTCCAATCTCACCCCGCAGCACACGCCCTGTGCTCTCCAGGACTGAGCTTCAGGCCGAGCGAATTGGAGCCCACCAGCCTGAGCCTGAGGTCGTGGAGAGTCTGCGGAGGCGCCCGTAAGACAATGTGCACGGCAGAGAAGAGGTAGTGCCGAGCACAAAGCAGGCCCTTGACAGTCCGCTTCTCTCACCCCCAGGTCCTGCAGCCTGGCCACTGAGCCCCTCCCTGTTACTGTCTGGGTGACACCAAACACCAGCCAGCCATAGGAGGTGAGAGGCAGGTCCCTGGCGGAGAGAAGGCTCCCTCGCTTGGACTCCAGGGTGGAGCCCAGGATCTCATGCACTTCCACCTAGGAACACAACAATGGGCCGTGAGCTGAGCTCACAGTCCCCAAGAGGAGAGAGACTGCCCCCGCAGTGCCAGTAAGAATTAAGACCCACATGCTGAGAAGCATTTACACTATGACAGCCGCTGGAGACCTGGCCTCCTCCTCCTTTCTGGAGAAGGTTAAGGATCTCTGACCTGGGAATCCTTCCAAGACACTGACCCAAAATGAGAGGGGAAAGAAAATCCTCACGCCCAGGAATGTCCACCAGCTATTTGCAACAGCAGAAAGGGGCAGATAGAGAGATGTTAAGTCAGTTACAATCCATCTGCATGATGCACTGTTAATGACAAAAACATTCTTAATGTGGGAAATGATTGGGTTAGGACACCAAGTGAAAAAAATATGTATAGTATGATCCTCTGTGAAAAATATATGCAAGAATAAAAGACTGGAAGGAAATACATCTAGAGGTCAATCAGGGTTGCCCACGAGTTATGTGATTATGGGCTTTTTTATTAATTCTTCTTTACACTTTAAGTAACTTCCCCATCTTCTCCTGTGGGCATGTGTCAAGTCTCCTCACTCCCCACAGAATAAAATCCAGCTCTTTAGCTGCCATCCTAGGCCTTCTCCAGTTACCGCCCCCCGGCCCCCCACAACTCGCTTTCCAACACGACCTGCCTTGTTCCTGCTGTTCCCTCTCCTAGGATAAACCAGTGGCCACTGAGTCGACTCCAACTCATGGTGACCCCATGTGTGTCACACTGGAACTGTGCTCCACAGCTTTTTTAATAGCTAATTTTTTGAAAGCAGATCCCCAGGCCTTTCTTCCTAGGCATCTCTAGGTGGATTCAAACGGCCAATCTTTAGGTTAGAGCCGAGCGCGTTAACCGTTTCCACCACTCAGGGACCCCTAGAATACCATCTCTCTATCTATCGGGCTCAGCACAAAAGGCAGGACTCTCTGCTCAAGCTCACCGTATTCCCAGCATCGGGGTGAAGCCCAATTTATAGCAGATGCTCGAGAGATAGCAGTGAAATGAATGAGTGAAACACTCGGGTGTTCCTCGGATCCCTGCAGGAATTCATCCCTGTCTCTGAGACCCTCACCAGAGCTTTGGTTCATTCTGCCTCCCGATAGTTCATCGTGAGCCTGTCCCTCCTCTGACCCCAGATGAGGACTTCTTGGGGGACAGAGCCCCTAAGTTATCCATCCTCAGAGAACAGATTAATGATATGTCCAGCTGACGGTCAATAATCAAGACTAGCTGGAAGAGAGAGGTGGAGGAGGAGGGAGGGAAAGGAAAGGGTGTACTTTGGGACTTGTTAAATTCTCCTTTGGGTGGTGCAAATGGTTAAGCACTCAACTACTGACCAAAAGGTTGGCATTTCGAACTCACCCAGAAGCACCTCAAAAGAAAGGCCTGGCGATCTGCTTCCAAAAGGTGACAGCCTTAAAAACCTTATGCAGCACGGTTCTATTCTGCACACATGGGGTCGCCGTGAGCCAGAATAGCCTTGGCAGCAACAGACTTGGTTTTCTGGTTTTTTAATGCACCCCAGAAACCCTGAACCCCACCCTGAGTGGCTCTATGGGGAGGCTGCAGGAGACAGCAGAGGCCCTGCTCTGGCCCCCTGGCCAGCCTACCCGTCTCCTTCACCTCCTTTGGAAGGAGGCCCTAAAGCCAGAGAAACTTCCCTCCGTGCTTTCTCTCCCCCTCGGGCCAAGCGGAGACTCCAGGGGAGATGCATTGGACAGGCTAAAGCCAGTTCCCTTCCCAGACACTTTGTCTCTCGGCAGCTGGGGCCAGCGCAGATGGGGAGCGGGCTCCCCACCCATCTCCCTGCCCCTGGTGGGCATGACCTCTCAGCAGCTCCACTCACCCTGTGGTAATGGTGGGCCTTGCCAGGCACGGAGGTCTTTTGCACATGCTGAAGTTTGAATACATGGAGCTCAGCTCTCAGAACCTTCTCGTGCTTGCCCACAGAGGAGATGATGAAGAAAAAATGGGAATGGTTTACGTGCACTGCAGAAGACAGGAAGGGCGGGGAGAGGTTACAGTCAGCGCTGTCACAGAGCCCATGGCCCTTGCCTCACCCTTGGATAGTGGCTTGGGAAGAGAAGGATAAGACACAGGGTGGGTAGACCAGTGGGAGAGAAGAGCTCAGTCCAGAGGTAGAGCTCCAGGCCCCACAGATGGGGAGACCTGGCTGCCCAGCTTCCTTGCCCTCCACTCATCCCCCCCCCCCGCAACCTAGCTCACCCTTCTCCTGGAAGCATCGCACCATGTTGCCTATGAGGATGTGTGGGTCCTTGGTGATCCCACTGGGGTAGGCCACCCTCTGGAAGAGGTCCAGCATAAATCCCGGCGGGCTTTGGGGTGGGCCCTGAGCGTGGCCAAGCTCCTCCATTGTGAACAGGTGCTCCATCTCCTGCACCAGCTTCTTCTTCTTCCAGGCCTGGTCTCTGGCTGCAAGCACCCCCAGGCCCAAGAGAAGCAGAGCCAGCCACGCCCAGCGCCCCATGGTGAGCAGGTCTGGGGCAGCCCTCCAAAGCCTTGGCTTTATGTACCCTGGGCCCTGGGGTGGGCACCTCTTGGTGGTGATCAAGGGGCTGGGAGGGGCCAGGCCACCCCTCCCTGGCAGGAAGAAGTGACTCTGCCTCTTGTAGGACAGGGTGGGGATGGGCATGCTCCATGGCCTTGGGTCTTCCTATGTCTGGGCCTCAGTTTCCCCATCTTCAGGAGCCCTTGAAGCTATTACAGTGGGTACCTGATGGGCAATTGGAGGCTGTGTGTGGGATGCCAGCAAAACACAGGCACCAAATAAAGCTAGTTGAAAGTATTTCAGGTTGGGTATCTCAAAAACAAGTTCAAAAAGTGAACAAGGGCAGATTAGTACTGTGCGGGCCTCTTCATGCTTCATTGAGTGTCATTTTTATCTTGAAGTTCATTGCAGGGAAGGGCCATTAAAGGTCCTTATGGGTCCCGCCAGAAGAATCCCTCTGCCTCAGTATCCCGCACAGAGACAAGTGTGGGGTGCCCACTGGCGTCACCCCCACAGGCAGAACTGGGGTGAGGGCTCTCTGTCCAGGCTTGAAGGCCAAAATCAGGGCTCAGATCCTGGCCCTGCCACCTACCAGGAGTGGGCAAGTCACTTGGCTTTGCTGTGCCTCAGTTTCTCCATTTCCAAATGGGGACTAGCATGTCACCCCCAGGTCTGTCACACAGCACATCCGTCCACCCACTTGACCAAGCCCAGATCTGTGGGGATAGAGCTGTCTGTCGGGGGCATCAGACCAGCAGGGTTTGTCTACAGTGCTGCTAAAAGGCTTGGTTCGCCCCAGCTTCAGCTCTTGCCCTGGTGGAAATTGCCTCAGACAGCCTCTTGTTCCCAGAGAACCTGTGAGAGTCCAGCCAGAAGAGGCCTGGGCCTGGGGCAGTGCAGGCGCCACTGAGCTGTTGGGAGGATTCAGAGTTAGGGGCCGCTTCAGGCCCCTCATCCCACCTTCACCACAGAGGCATGGAGGAGAAACCCGTCCCGGGGCAGGGGACAGTCTCTAGACCCCCCCACCCCATGCACCCTGAGGCATTTGCCCAGCATCTCTTAGCCCTGGGCAGTGACTGTCCTGGGTGGGGCCTGAAGCTGCTGGGGGTGGCCTGTGCCTAATGCCCATGCCTCCGAGCCACAGCCTGCACGCGCGCCCGCGCCCGCGCCCGCACGCGCACACGCAGCGGCACTGCGGTGAGGGCTCTAATCCTGCTGGAAGCTCTTCCAGGATGAAGTCACTGCGGAGGCTTGCGATTGGCTAAAGGCCAGACGGCCCCAGGCCATTAAGGCAGAAACCTGACCAAGCAACCGAGGCTTCCTGGTGCTTCTGGTGGTCCCCCAGCCCCTCTCCCCAGTCAGTCACTCAAAGGCCCTGCCAGAGGAAAAGGTTCTGAATGACTTCGATATTCTAAAAAAAGTAGTGAAGCTGTCATCCTGAGGAAAAGCCGCTGGACCTCCTTCTGTTACAATACAGCTTTCCATTTGGAATCTCATATTGTGGGGGAGGCTCCATTTTCAGTCCTGTCCTTGGGGCCTCTGAAGTCCTGCCTGGCCCTGGGGGCAGTCTCTTGGAGGAGCCTCCAGAACCCACCGTTCAGCCTGGGTATTTCCCCAGTGACCATCAGGGAGGCCCAGGGCCCCGCAGTGGGTGAGACCCCGTGCTCCTCACCTCATCCAGCACCAGACCCTCACAGGGCAGGTGTTTGACAAAGAATGTCTGTGAACGACGGTCACTGATCCTTACAGTGACATTATCATTCCTTTTTACACATGATGAGTTTGAGCTCAAATCGTGTGTCTGAATTTCCCTACGTGGTACAGGCAGAATAAGAAGGTAGGTCTATCTGACTCCAAACCATGTTCTTTTTACTCATCCAAATTAGTGCAAGTCACGGCACAGTTTCTATATTTCCCCTGAATCAGTGCGTGCCAGACTTTGATTTCACAGGTCAATTTAAAAGATATTTGGGACCAACGAGGTTTGCCAGCCTTTTACGTTGCCAAGTCAGGAAATTTGAAAGAACCAACTAGAAAGCCCTCCTTCCTAATTCATATTGATCAGCACCATCATTTTGTAAAAGCAAGACCGTGTTAAGACCAGAAGTCAGGCCGGTCAAAATCTCCAAATCCAGGACAGTGCTATCTAGGAAAAGACAGACAGCCACCTCCTGCCAGCATCGTCTTGTGGCACCTGCGGATGCTAAGGTGAGTCTCTTGCCAAAAATCAAGTGTAAATAAAACGCAGAGCAAGAATTTGAAGCCGGGCTGTTGGAGTCAGCGTCACGCTCGTCCCGGTAACCACTGCTGATTTCTCTACGTCCCTGGCACTCACGGTCACATCCACTAAAGTCCACAGCAGCCAGGCAAGTAGACATGCGACTTCTGCCATAAGCCTCTGTGGTTATGGATTGGTCTGGGACACGGGGAGGAGAGCGCTGCTCTGCCCTGTCTCCCAGAGCCTGGCTGGGACCGTGCCCGAGCCAGCATTCCCAGTGACCTCACGTTACCCTCACGCTGTTGGCCAGGAAATCAGTGCCCACGACAGCTGCCCCCTCCTCCAGAGCCGGCAGCTGCCACACACACAAGCTCTCTTTGCCTTAAATTTTAAAAAATGGTATACGTACATCTATATGTATGCATTCAAACCTTACAGATAAAACAAATGTCTCCTTGCCTACTAACCCTCAGTCCTGATCCACTTTGTTCCCAATAAGTAAACAGCGATGTCACTTGCTGAGCGACTGTCCAGACCCAGCCACGCACATCAATGTACACAAAGAAGAGAGTCCTGTGTGCATGCGTGTGGATAGTTTTTAATGTTTTATTTTAAAACAATTTCAGTCTTAACAGAAGAGTTGAAAGAACAGTACACGGAACTCCCGTACGCCCTTCAGCCAAGTTCACCACTTGGAGAATTCACCCACTTCTGTTCTCTCCATGCACATCATGTTTTTTCCTCAGAATCATGTAAGAAGTAGCTGTGGACGTGATGGATGACCTTCACCCCTAAACACCCCAGAATACTTCCGAAGAAGAGGGCGTTGTCTTATATAACCACAGTCTAATTGTCAAGTTCGGGAAGTTTCAGTGATGTGATGTTGATATCTAATGCATAGTTATGTTCAAACGTGAATGTCAAGCTTCCCTTTGCTCCGGGGTCTTGCGTTACATTTAGTCCTTGTGTCTTTTTAGTCTTCTTCCATCTCGAACAGTTTTTCAGCTTTTCTATGTCTTTCATGACATTGATATTTTTGAAGCATCCAGGACAGATTTTTTTTTTAGGAAGTGATTTTTTTTATTTGTTTTTTTAACAGAAATGATATGGTATTGTATGTACTGTTTCACAAGCTTATTTCCACTTAGCTGTATATTTCTGAGATATTTCCATGTCAGTAAACATCAGGCTAAGGAGCGTTGGTAGCACAGTGGTTAAACATTCAGCTGCTAACCTAAAGGTAGGCACTTTGGACCCACCAGCAGCTTCAAAGGAGAAGAGACCTGGTCATCTACTCCCATGAGGATTAAAACCAAACCAAATCACAGAGCAAGATGGTGGGTTTGAACAGTCGACCTTTTCGTTAGTGGTCAAGTGCTTTAACCACCTCGTCCCCAGGGCTCCCCATAAAGATTACAGCCTAGGAAACCCTATGGGGCAGTTCTCCTCTGTCCTGTAGGGTCACTATGGGTCGGAATCAACTCAGTGACACTCTACAACAGTATCAATCTACCACATTCTTTGTTAAACTGCTGTGTAGCATTCAGTGCAGTTCCCGAGTGGTTCAAACAGTTAACACGCTTGCTGCTAACAGAAAGTTTGGTGGTTCAAGTCCACCCAGAGGAAGAAAGGCCTGGTGATCTACTTCTGAAAAATCAGCCACTGAAAACCCTAAGGAGCACAGTTTTACTCAGACACACACGGGGTCGCCGTGAGTGAAATTCGACTCGATGTTAATTGGTCCCTGGTCATAGCATTTAGTAGCACAACCAAACCAGTGTTTGATCATTCCTGCACTGATAAGCCGTAAGTTGCAGTAATTTTCAAATAAACGCCCCTGTATGTACTTCTTTGTGTACTTGTCCACGCGGCTGTCGAGAACAGAAGCCTAGACTTGGAACTGCTGGGCCAAAGGGTATGTTCATTTTTAATTTAAATAGAAATAGCAAAATTACCACTGTAAATGCCATGTCAGTTTACGCTTCCCCCAACAGATCGCTAGCGCACCCCTCCCCACGTAGTGGAAATCATCAGTCTTTTGCTATTTCTCCGGGCAGCAGCTCACACATGCAGATCACACAGCTGCTGTGGTCTGCCAAGATTGGGCCTCTTTTCCCTTTTCCTGCTACCAGCCCCATGGACTTCCCTCTCTGGGAAGTGCGTGGTCCTAACCTTTTCCCGCTCTGCTGATTAGTCTGTTTCTTGTTCCATCGCTGGTTTTCCATATTTTGGGTACAGATCTTGGGTTGTAGAAGTTGCAGATTTTTGCGGCCTCACCTCTTCTTTTTATCTCTGCTTATAGTGTCTGTGTTGTTCAGAGGTTCTAAAATTTTGACAGTCACATTTATCGATCTTTTATATCTTCTGTGTTTTATATTTTCTTTTGTGTAAGTGGGTGTGTCTTGCTTTTGAAAGCCTTTCCTATTCTAAGTTTATACACTAATTATTCAATAATTTCTCCTAACGCTTTTACAGGCTTGTTTGTTTGTTTACATTTGGTTTTTTAATTTGAAATTTTGTTTCACATGATTATTATTTTTAAATGTTCATCTAGGTTTCCAGAACCATTTATTAAATAATTCATTCTTTTCTTTTTGGTCCCATCAAGTGTATACTAATTTCCCTTGTATATGTATGGGCCCTTACTGGGCTCTATTGTGGTTGACTATTTTTTTTCCTACACCAATGACATTTTTTATTAGTATTAGTATTATCTCTATAACTTCGTAATCTGTTTGTCCTGTGGGGCTGGTCTGCTCTT